GGAATTATCGCGGATATGATCATTCGAATTAGGAAAAAAACTTTTGTCAAAAGATTGTGAAATATGAGTATTAAACGCGTAACGTCAAAATAGATACAAGGACTGAAATACTAATTATGCTGTACGGTAATATATAGTATATTGTGAACACGGGTGTTTTTAGATAAATGTAGATCTTAACCTAACGCAATTAAAACGAAATAGTACGGGAGGGCTCCTACGATACGCTACGTTCTGTGCCGTTTAATGGGTCAATGACTCATTTGTAGAAAACCGTCGAAAAACGTTAATACCACTCATCTCACTGACCATAATACTAACTAAACTGGAAAGAATCTTGCAGCGAAATTGCGTTTATGTTTGTTTGTTTATTTTTCATTTTTCTGACGGTTTCCGAGAAGGAATGAACAAGCTCGGCCGAGTGTTTCGTAGATAAATATTTTGTCAATACTTTGTCTCATCAATTTTTCTAGGATGTTTTTCTGAAACACTCAACATTAAAGATTGCGTGCCTTTATGTATGAAAAAAATCCAATAACTGTAATTGCGTCGAAATGATATCTCCCATGAAACGTATTTTAACCATTATTTAAATAAATCTTATCAATATCCAAATGTTACACTAAATTGCACGGTCGATGAAAAAAAATGCAAAAACATTTTTACGCGTACACAAATGATTTAAACCTCGGTCATGCGTACATATATCTATGAATTTGGGAACCTACGTTTAATCCTATCTATATACCAATCGTATTTATATTATATTAGTAAAATTAATGTATTTAAATAATTAAATCGAAAATATATAAAATTATAATTATCATACTTTATAATAGTGTGCTATATATTTAGGTGTATTCAAATAATTGTTATGCAAAATATATATTAAAAAGTATAAAAAAATTAAATTTGACACAATATGCACACTATTTATCTAATATTACTATACCTATAATATATGATTATAATAAATATAAATTTCATACCTAATACAGGTCTTGCACCAAAAAACATTATGTTATCTGAATTATACTTTATGTATATTTTAAAGTTTTGTGTGTTACTTTAAGGAAAGGTCCTGATGAATGATGATAAAATATACTATTCAATAATAGTATACTATATACATAATCCAAGATTTACTATTTATTCATGATTTAAGTACCTACCTAAATGGTAATTATACGTCCAATATTTACACTAATTATTTAAGAACACTGTAGTTATTGTAAAACATTATAAATAAATATATACATATATATATATACATTACTTACACACAGGTTCGACAACAAGGAAAAAGGAATGATCTCCCTTGGGCTCGGAATTTTTGAGGGGGGCCGGAAATTAGGGACTACAAATTATTAAAAATTAAACACAATTAATGATAAAAATTTGATGAATACTGTAGACAAAATTAAGATAAACCTTAAAATATACCCTACGGGTCCAGATTTCTCTCTCCTCGACCCTGCCTATACATACATATGTCTTATAACAAAACTATTTGTTTATATTATATTATAGGAACCATACAAATAGCGCGCACAGTGAAAACCAGCTAGTTATCAGCTATCAATAATTTAAAAATTTTAAATATGGAAATACGTTTGTTTATAAATAACTGGATATCATATTATAAATATATATATATATATATATATACGAGTATATAGTACTATAATACTATAATCACGGGATAACTGATTACTACCATTATCTTAAAGCAGCAGTTTGAAACATTATGGGGTCGCAATTACATCGCGTTTTGATTGGTATCAATTATGATTGTATTATTATAGTTGCAATACCTAACAACTTTATATATTAATATATAAAATGAAACAGTAACTATTCGATAACATCGCAATGCCATGTTCCATATTGAATACAAAACATACATCTCAGAGATGATAGGCAACATAAAATGTTCAGTGGGAAGTTTGTTTAAGTACCGAGAATGGGTATCCATAATATGTATAATTTTTGTTGAAAAACTATTGCATCATAAATATTTTGTAAATTTGAATAAACAATATGTACGTAAATCTTCCAAGAGAAAATAAAACATACATCGCATCTGGATTCAACCTAGTCGCGTAGTCTGTTGTTCGTTCGTTGTTAGTTAACGAGCCCTGCACAGCGAACAGAGTCACGTAATTATTGAGTTTTTAATGATGTAATACAATATTGGGGTTTGTCTCAGAACTCAAACTGACTATAAGAGGGTATTTTAAGAAAACATTTTAACTGCTGTGTAAAGAATTTATATTGTTTTACATAAGTAAAATATTCGATTTTTTTTTTTTTTTGTTACAAGAATTTCTTTAGATGTATTTTAACGTATTTTTAAAGATGATCCATCTATAACACCATATGAATATATTTATTCGATATTATTTCATGAATACGTTTTACATACGGTTTATTTTATTATTATTTTTTGCTGGCAAATATTTTAAAATGAACAAGTACAAAGAACTATTTTTTAAATTATTTCACCTAAATCGTTTAAAATGAAAAAGTTATATCGTGTGATAAAAGAAAGACTTATAGATACTTATCAAAATTTTAAATTCATAAATGCGGAGCATCCAAGTTGGATCCCGAGTACTAGAGGATAATCGTAGGTAGTGTACTAGTTGGGTCCCAAATTTGTATAGGTACTAAACTAGTTGAGTCCCGAATTATTTTAGGTATACACTAGTTCTTGAATATTTTTTAGTAAGTAATACATTATACTAACATTTTTCTTCCCATTTTAACAGACTTAGGACTGCCTATATTCTATTTAAACCATAGGTATGGTGAAAAATGTTTTTTGTAGATTTTTTATATAGTTTCTTTTCCATTAAAAAATAAATTATTAGAATTGCGTGGGTAATAATATTAAAGATATTAAAATTGTATTAATATTATTGTATAATATTTTTATTACACTATACTAACTTTTCAATACTATTATATAAATTATAGAATTTTTAAAAAATGTGGTCTTGTGGTCTAAATAGATCATAGACAGTCCTAAGTCAGCTAAAATGGGAAGGAAAATGTTAGTATAATGTAGTACTTACTAAAAATTATTCAGGAACTAGTATATACCTAAAATAATTTGGGACCCAACTAGTATAGTAAATTTAAATTCGGGACCTGATTCGTATGCAGCCCATAAATATTTCCGTTTTTTCTACGTTTTTGCATACTTGATTTGCTTTATACTTTTGATTAAAATACTCTTGTTAAAATTTACTTGGAATAAAAACTTTTCGTCTAGTATTACATTAGTGAAAATTTTCGTAAAGAAATTTTTTTTACTTTTCTTACGCATTAATCGAACAAATAAAAATAATTAAAAAGTTTTTTACGTGCAAGGCCATGACATTTTAACTGAAATACTTCATTGTGGTTCATTACTCGATAGTTGAAGTTGGTAATTAAAGTATTATTTGATAATATGAAACGTATTTTTGACATGTGTATAAAACATTCTCCTCATATAAAATTAGTGTTTCCACATAAATTAACTTCACGTCAAACACACCAACATTTTGAATATTGCAATCAACTAGAAAGTTGCCAAAAATTACTAATACATGACAATAACATTAAATCCAAACATTTACTTATATAAAAATGTAAAAATAAATACACTTGTAGTATTCAATAAATTGTTAGTTTATATGACCAAATAAAATAAATATAATTATAATTAAATATTATTAAATGGGTAATACATACTCGTAACATAATATATAAATAAATACTTAGCTTAGCCTGGAATATTATTATATTTGTAAAGTAAAATCGGTTTCTAATTAAAAATTCATCGTCGAGTATAAACTAAGTCAATAAAATCGTGACTGAACATGAAAAAATAAAATAAGGTAAAGGTTTAAAAAAATATTTCGCTTGATATAAAAATTAATTATTATAATTATTATTATTTATTATATTTTTTAATTCAATACTTTATAGAATTGAACGTATTCCATTAAATAAATTTAATTATGAACACGAACTCAATGTTATCTTAAGTATAGCCCATAAAAATAATTTCAATTTAAATATTATTAAAAAAATTCTTTAACGTATTAAAGAAAAAATTAAACACAATTCACCGTACAATATTGATATTGATTGATATTGATAACTATTGTAGTATGAAGTGTTAAAATAATACAACTTAAAAATTTGCTAATATTGTAAAAATTACTTTTAAAACTATTAACAATTTGATTAGACTTAGATAATAGAACTAAAAACTTTAAAAAACCCTCTTTCTTTTGAAAATGCCGATATACATAAACTTAAATGTAATTAAAATATATTTTATATGGGCATGTCAAATAGAAATTTTAAAATAAGATATAAAGAACACATTTCTGAAGTAGAATTAAAAATAACTGTCCCTGATTCAAGTTTTGCTAAACATGTTTTAGAAAATAACCATTAGTAATTACTAGTAGTTAACTATTAACCATTAAATAAACATTTTGATATCAATACAGGCATAGAAATACTAAATATCCAAAATAACATTTACAATAATTCAGTTTTAGAGTAGTTACACTTACGAAGTTAAATAAAAAATAATAATTACAATAATATTTTAAATGTACAAACTGATTTTAAAAATAATATCTTATATCAATACATTTTAGGAAATAATAAACAATAACAACCAAAGTATTTAATTTCTTAACATATCTGTATCTAATAAAATTACCAATTTTTCTCAATGCATTTTTTCGTTAATTTTTTCATATTCAATCGCGATCTTATTGAATTTGTATATACCAGATGATGAATTTTTAATTCGAAACCGATCATACTTTACAAATATAATAATACTCCTGGCTAAGCATTTATTTAATTATTTATTTCTATATTTAAGCTATTTATATATTCGCTCAAATATTAATATGATCTACTTAAATGTACTCGAACCCATAAAATATATTTTATTATATTACATTTTGATATTTCCATTCTGTTACCTGCAATCTGATTTCAACCTGCAACTTTCGGCCAAGCTATGGCATGACACTTTAGCTGTTCCGTCTACACGCTGCGCACATTCTGGATGCAACATTTCTTGAGCTATCAAACATTTGTCTTTGTTGACTCCAGATTTTCTATTCAGAAATAACAATAATTAATAAAGGCATTCACTGCTTAATGTTATGAATTTAATTTCTTATTGTTTTTATTGTGGACCTTTCATTTTTATATATAAAACACAAATGACATGCATACTAAAAATATTGATACATTTAATAGACAATTTTTTTTTGTATTCGGTTTCTTTATAACACACACGTAATAGATTACATTTTTAAATTTTTTTAAATTTTATTAAGTGCTGGTTTAGAATATTATTACTTTATTGAAATTATTGAAACTCCATTTATTATTCATTTATTTAACATTTTTAAATAGCATATCCGTTAAGAAAACAAAATGTAAATATCAAATGCATCATTAACACAAGAAATGCAACGGAGTCTTTTAATCGTCAATATTTGCCTGTTGATAACGATGAAGTACATTATATTCACTTCCAGCAATAGCGGTTAAGATCATAGATCAACAATTATAGCTAAAATAAATTATTATTATATTATACAGTACGCCAATCAAATAAAGGTCATACGAGAATATATAAAATATTTGAATTAGAATAATGGTGTTTCAAATAGAATAATCAAATTAAGCACCTAAACCGAATGGGAGTAAATTGTATTTATTATTTAGTAGCATTGATTTTAGAATAGATAATATTCTAAAATTAATGGTAGTCATATAGAGAAATATTAAAAACAAATGTTTTACAGGTAAACTGTGATATACTAGGGTGGATCTACAATGATTGAAAAACACACATATAATAATGTTCCAATTGAATATTGGTAACCATAATTTAGAATTTATTATAACATAAAATTCAATGTAGTTTTATGTTTTTACAAACGGCCATTTAATTCATTGTTAAGTGCAGGGCAGTTAGTTAAGAATAATATAATTGCTATCGAAAAATAAATGTTATAAGCCCTCACTCGGATATGATTAATCGACATATTAAATTTATAACTAAATTACATGATCCGCAGTGTTCTTACTAACTTACTAGTAATATTAGATACTGTTAGAAGTTAGGTAAAGAAAAAAAATATGATTCAATGTTACTACATACATTTACATCATATTAAATAACTATGTGTAATTTCGTGGTCGTTATAAAAGTTACAGTAATGAGTTTATCAAACAACGGGGAAGGACAGGCATTTTTTCTTTAAAACTAAAAAAGCTTAATAATTTTTAAATTTCGGAAAATAATTGTAGTGTAGCAGTAAATTCTAAACTCTTCGGGAAAGTACTACATATGCAACTCGAAGTAAATAGTTTACAACTATCGATTAAACGGTTTGTAAATAATTCTATTTATACGAGTACATCGCTGCTGCATTCGTATCGGGGTGTAATATTTTATACTTATCAAAAGTATATTTTCAGCTTTTATAATTTGTTTTTAACACGATGGAATTGGACTGTAATTTATTATTATTATAATATAACATAAACTATATAATTTATTACATTATAAACAGTCACATGATCACCATGTGTTGTTTTTCACTGACAACTGCATAATATTATATTGCATGTTAGTTATTGTGAAACACATAATAATATGTAAGTTATAATGTTCTACGCAATGATAGTAAAATAACATTTATAAGTATTATGATATTATAACTATATTATAATTATATTCTTTTACAGAATTCGTGATCCAATCGTAATTAATTTCACTTTGTGTAATTTACCTCTCGATAATCCAGGTAAACCTGTCACTGACATTGGTGTTAAAATAGATGAGGCACTTACTTTTCACGAATATATAAAAAAAATAATGCTGTATAGCTCTAAAAATACTTGCTTTTATAAAAAGAGTTTCCGCTGAATTCAAATTGTTAGCGCAACTCACCAAATTATATTGTGCTCTTGGGAAACCAATTCTAGAGTATGGTACTGTTATTTGGGATCCTAATACAGTTACAAATAGAAACCATATTGAAAGGGTACAACGTAAATTTTTAAACTTTGTTGCTGGTGCTTCATATTGAACAAAGGCCTCATGATTACGAACCAGTACTTACTTTACTAGGACTATCAAACGTAACTGACAGGATATTGCAGCTAACCAGATATGTATACAAAAACTTATTGATGACTCTTTTGACTATTCTAAACTACTAAGTCAACTTAACTAATAGATACTGCTAATCAGTGACGGATCCAAGAAGGAGTAATGACGATGCCATTTCCTAAAAATATATTTTCTCATATATAGAAAAAAAACTATTCGATAATTTTTTATTAATAATCTAAGAATCTTTTTTCGATACAATAGGAAATCGATGACCGTCGCGCGTTCCACGTAATCTCGATAATTTCCGTGAAAAAAATAAAATAATAATTCTTTATTAATAAATCCTGAGTTTAAAAGTATACATTTTATTCATGAGACATTAAATAGTTCAGATAAAAATTGCTATCCAATACAACCATTCTTACTTAAATTTTTAGTTAGATTATGTCGCTGTAGCAGAGAGAAGTTATTCCTCTTTAAGGCTACTTAAAACTTGGTTAAGTGCAACAATGGGAAGAGAAAGATTGACAGGGTTATATTTTATGTATATCCATAAGGATATAAATATTAACAGTGAAAATAATCTAAAAAATATGAACGACAGGTTTTCTAAAGAAAACAACCAAAACTTGACTTTGGACTATAAAAATAAAGTATAATATTAATTTTTAATACCATGATATTATATTTTTTATCCTTTTAATTATTATAAAATTTAACTTTGTTCCTAAAGGTAAAACCTACCATACATATGTCCAATTTTTATATATATGGCTTTACCTCTCCCTCCGTACAACATTTCAGTATCCACCACTATTGATAATAATTTTGAGATAACAATTTTGTATTTCTCAAAATTTCACTTTTGGCCGTTGTGATTTTCATCGAAGTAAACAATGTAGATTTATTGTTTTAATTAATAATAAATTAAATTAAATTAATATTAATTGGTTTTATGATTATAATGAATTTCTTATACGCTGATAGATATTTCATTTGTAAACAGGAATTAGGAGTACTTCGAAGAATAGAATGTAGACCATTTAAGCAATGTCGAAATAAATTTCTCTCAGAAGATATTTTGAATTTTCGTTCATCTTTAAAAATACTTCACTATTCAACGATAAAAGAATAATAAATTTTACTAACAATTAAAATAAACATTATTTTAGTAATACAGGGTTATATTTTAAAATTAACAAATCCCAGAAATATTGAATTTTTAAACATTTTAAAAAATGGGTTAGAAAATAAAATATAATAGACGAATGACAATAATCAAAAAAACATTTACTTTTTCGTATTATTAAATTTGATACTATTAGGAATTTAATTTTTAGGATTTTATTATTAATTCATTATATTTATGACTATCTATGACAAAAGCTGATTAGTTGCCTATTAACAAACTTTTACGTGATATTCAAACATTTTTATAAAGAAATTTACCAGTAGCGCAGTGTTTAAAAACTATTTACAATAAGTTAGTTAGAAATTAATAATATTATTTAATCTGTCCGTAGTTTTTAAAATAATTTAAATGTCTGTAAATGTACGGACAAATAATACCATTAAAATAATTATTCATTAGTATTTATAAGTATTCATCAAAAAGTGTAACAATAACATCCGAATAATTCATCTATCTATATTACAATAATATCATCGTATAATCTTACTTGCACAGACAAAATGCGATTTCGATCGCGAACGAATGCATTGATTCATTCCTGTAAAAGCTTTGCAACGATTCCATGCAGTTGGATTTTCTACATTGTCTCTGATTACAATTTCGAATAATGGAAGCCACCATTTCCTGGCAATGTGGATGCTTATTACAAGTTTCTAACGCCTCGTGGCACGTACTCTGAAAGTTCAATATAGAGTTGTCGATTGGCGACGACTTGGAACCTAAATTTACAACAACAACAAAAATACATCATTAATCCAGGGCAAGTGAACGACAAGATTAAATAAGATACAGTAAGCGATGATTTATAATAAGTTCTAAATGTAATCGTATATTTACTCAATAGACACATTTATAGAAAAATAAAAAATGTATAACAAATTGTTTTGTACATCGCTTCCTGTAATTTATTACTAAATATATTTATAAACAACGTAGTGAAAATGTGTTATTCGATGATAACATATAATGATGGAAATCTCTAAAAAACCACAAGACCAATTAAGACGAAGTCTTAAAACCTATGGGAACCCGTTTGTTTTTATCTAAACACATACAATTACATTGAGATAAAAGATTTTTTCAATAATTTCAATTAAAATTATCAATCATGCACTGAATATTCAATGAAAAAAAAATTAACGTTCAATGTAACATGTTCAAATAATCTTCATACTCGTTTATAATAGTAATGTCAAAAGTGTCTATTATTATTATTAGTTCGAATAAATAATGAATTTCTCTGCTGGTGTGTAATTAAATATTATTGTTACATTAAAAATGCATAAGATTTAATTGGTAAAATAATATACATATTTTATATTACTATGGGTGAACGATTGATATTATCTAATGTTTTTTTTTTTTTTTTTTTTATTGAAAAAATTCTAACATAAATTATGATGCATGATTTTGTATTTTAGTGTTCTATATACTTTGTGTAAAGTAATTTCCATTATTAAAAAAAAAAAATAATCATTTGAATTTTTGATCGATAGTGATGGTTGTAAATTATATTTTCTATTCTGCGTATTAATATTTTTGAAAACATTGCATGTAACAGCAACTTAACCTTTAAAAACTAACCTTTAATTAACTACTCTTTATGTGATAAAATTGGAAAATATGAAGAAAAACAGTTGACAGAAAATAAGTAGTATTAAAAGTCCCGATAAATAAGTACATGGTTGATACAATAAGATGGTTATAATAATTAATATAATTGGGTGAATTAAATCGATACGGATTTTAAGCTTAGTGAGCAGAGCGCAGATTTATTGTAATTTATTTGTACAAATTATATTGTGTGCATACAAGTTAAAGTAATATGTATTCGCTTTGTTAGGGTAATTTAATTCTATGCAACGATAACTTTTTGATTACGACCCGGTGACGAACAGTAATACGAAAAACAAAATTGTTATGTAAATCAAGGTATAATAAATAATGATAAAAACTAAATAAAACGTTATAAATCGAATGTCTTCAAAAATAATTGGTTTTAATCAAATTAATAAAAAATTAGATTAATAATTTTATTATTAGTTGAATGTATCAAATGTATAGAAGATGAAAATGCCATGGACAAATTAAATAACTGCTGAAAACAATAGCAACTATGTGTACAGTTATTATTATTATTTATATGCGAGTATACGACCAAAATTAATTAAAAAATAAATCCAAATGTTTATGTTTACCCGTATGGTTATTAATAACCTACTTTTTGGTCATAGTACCGTGTTATGGTTGGACGTATTGTTTGAGATCCGTTGATATTTATTTTTCCAAAACTTGATTCTTAGTTTTTGGTATTGTAGGGAGATTTCACGTGAGGGGATGATTTATGACCCCAACAACAAAATAATTCTTGAAGAATACAGAAAAAAAAAATCAAATAGTAATGTGCTGGGCGGGTCGAGTGAGTAGATAACCCCTAAGTACGTATATATGGCTTATCGTACGTGTAATATTTAATCGAGTTTATTTTATTTACGATCAATAATACTGCAGTACCGTCTTAGTCACGGACTTTATTTCACGGGCTGAAATTGGAAGCTGCTATTGTTGTGCTTTTGAGAACACAAAAAGCACAGTGAAAAAATGTTAGTGTTCATAGAAAACATTATGTAATCCACCGTCTTATCGTAACACGAAAAAGTATGGACAGACCAAAGTTTCTTCGAATACTTACGAAACATGTGTATTTTATTTACCAAATATGAAAAAAACAAGTATTGGTACCCAAATATATAAAATTATATCAAATAAAATTGAGCTTGTATTAGAATGTATGTAGTAGAATAATCCAAATCCTAAACATCAAGCAAAAATATTCTATTCAAATAAAAATATGTATTTACAATAAAATGCATTCCTTACTTATGAATAGAATACGGATTTTGAAGGAATTCGCTTCTTTTTTTTTTTTCTATTGTTTTCAAAAAAAGCTGTCAGTTATGAATTCGATTTATATTACATAGAATCAAATTTACAGAATTTAATTTTGCTTTCCTTTTGTATTTGACTGCATTTTAGGGTTTTCTTTGGTACTTTGTTTTTTGCTTTTAAGTAATATTTTGTAACATTTTTTTTCAAAATGTGTTCTAAATAAACGTATACAAAATGTTAATATTTATTTTTATATAGCATAATATGTTCCAAGGATATAGCTCAATCGATTTCATCTCGTTAATTGATCAATATAACTTAGATAATGATATGAAATGTTAAAAGTAGGTATCTATTAAGTCATTTCTTGACAACCTGACTCGTGTGTTATTTTGTCATGTTGTCAACAATTAACATGGAGATATTATCATACCCTAGATATTATCTACTCAGAATTGCAGTTTAGTTTTCGTTGTAACACCGTGTAGTTTGTTTTTCTTATCGAGTGTCACAAAATGCCAAAAATGATTGATTCCACTGCCCGTATTCGCTATTTTTTAAAATAATTTGTTATGATATTTTTTGTAATAAATAATTTTTTTTTTAAATTTATTTTTGATGCTTTTTTTTAAAAAAAATATTTTTAATGATCTATTGCTTTATTTTATGTGCTTTTTTTTTTTTGAGTTTTTAATTGCTTTAAAATCCGTAATTTACTTATGCATAATACTTAACCATATATGATTGAAACTATTATATATACTTAGGTGAACAGTAATATTTACCTTTAATTTAATTTAATTGTAATTTACATTGAATGTGCAAAATTTAAAATGAAACAAGTATTTTCTAAACCATGATGATTTTGAGTAAATATGTTCAACTAATGGAACTAAATAATGGAATTAAATATAATTCTAAGAATTTATAGTTTTTTTTTTCAGGTAGAGTTGAATGAATTTTTTATGGTTTATTATATAAGAGTTTCATGTACTTAACTTATATCATTCACTTATTTTTAGAGTTAGTATAGTTATTAATAACAATGTTATTCGATTTATTTTAGTTTTCTTTTTATCACGTATTCCATTGTTTAAAAAATGGATTTTTAAATATAACTAATTAAAGCTTTTATTGGGATACCGCATAATACATCTTAATTTATGAAATAATCTAAATACTGTTTTTAAATTATTTTAAAGTTATTTTATTATATATATATATATACGTATGTCCAATTCAATTCCCACTATATTTAATTTTTTATACCTCATACCTCATTAGCTTCACCGTTTTTAATTACATTTTGAAATGAATAACTTATGTTGTAGAAAGAAACGTTCAATAGAATTACCAGGGGTGCAACTTCAATGAAAAAACTGGGGTTACTCTGTTTCATGTTCCTTTATGGTTATAGATACCTGCAGACTGTACAATTTAACAATTAATAAACTACTCAGTAAATATTCAATTATTTCTAAATTGAAATTATTCAATTTTATTTAAAATTTTTATCACACATATAATTCAGGTGTAACTCAATAAACAATTCTGATTTTTTCTACAGCAGCTTAGCCAGATTAAACTCACTGCTTTAACGCATGTAAATAATTTTTCTAACTATATTTGTTTGTATTTATAGATTGTGTTACATAAATTAACTTTGCATTGTATCATTCAAGTAACTCTCTGTTTCTTCTTAATTATATTATGTTAATATTAAGTACAATAACTCTTCTGAGCCTTATTAGGCTCATATTTCAAATTAAAAATAAATGAATAAATAACTTTCGAGTATTACCCGTCTGCATACACCAATGTTTTATTACATGATCGGTTGTTAAATTATAGATTTATAAATTATACAATAAACACTCCATGTCTCTAAACATAACGAATAATGACCGTTTAAACGTAAACTAAAATGAAAACATTTGGGGATACTGATTTCGTAGCTGAGACAACCAAGCCCCCTCCCCAAATCGCGCTTGTAAGCATAACACGTAAGGTTTGTCACTGATTTACTTAAATAACATATCCGTAATAATAAACTCTGTTGTTCTACACGGTGTCCATGTGGGTCACGTGATGAAAAATTCAAGAGGTATACCACGTAGGACTACGTTCAGGCGGCTCAAAGTATAGTCGAACTAGGCACCTAACTAGGGCGACATTTTAGTAGGGGCGACACTGTAAAAATTGACTCATACATTTTTTTTAGTTCTATCGATGTTTTATAAAAAAAATATTTAAATTAATTTATTCGTGAAAACCACTTATCTATATTGTAAAATAATATTGTCTAAACTTATTATATGACTTTATATTACGGCTTACGCAGGGCGTTTTCAATTAGTCCAAAAATAAAATAATCACACAATTATTTCCGCGATTTCCGACGGTCGCGATAGTGATGGGTTTTGAATAATAAGTATAAAAATCATTTTGTCTTTTTACATATAATTTTATCTATCTATTTTATCTACATCAAATAAAAAATTTAATTTTTTTTTATGTAGATATGTCACATAAATAATAGGGGAAGAGGCTAAGTTTAAATAAGAGCTACATTTTTTTTTTTTTTAGGATTGGCAAAATTTGATTTTTCCCAGTGCACTATTATTGTTTGTGCCGGCCCTGACTACGTTACGGGCCGTGCCGTTAGAACTAACGTTAAAGACTGCAACCATTATTATTACACCTGTGTTGTACATAAACCGCGAGAAGATGAAAACCGCCACCAGCGCGATTTGCTGCGGTACACGCGCTCCCCATTTATTATAGCTGTCTGGATTGTATTGTCATAAACCGTAGCGCGTGTGCAGCGAGA